TGTAATAGTTTGGCTAGATATTTTGCAATATTGTAGGTCGGACTTCCAATGGCGCTCACAATGGGTCTCAGTGGTACATCCGGTTTATGGATCTTGAGTAGTCCGTAGAGCCTTGGTGGGAGTGCTTCTGATTTTTTGAGTTTTGCCAACGCCTTTGAAAATGTCCACCGCAGTTGTGGACGAAACGTCAGGAAGAAATTTCGATAGACCACGGCTTCAAAGCCCGGAAAACATTCCTAAATGTAATCTGACCGGCCGTGAAAGCCTTCATAGTCTGATAAAATTTTCATTTACTGTACGTTATAGTATAACTCTTTACGAGTTAAATACAGCCTCAGAGAAGTCTCTCCGACGTCTCAAGAAAAATTTTTTAGAATCTGGTAAGAGCCCTTTTACATAACAAATAGGAATGAACAAAAAGTTATGAATATTTGGAACTAAAATTTATACCACTTATAAAGTATACAAACACCTTCAAAAAAAGTTATAGTGAGATTTTTGGAAGCAAAACCAAATTAATTTAAAAAAATTTTACATTCATCTATTTAGTGCCCGGAAAAAATCTAATCTAATCCGCCTGTACTAATTGTTCCATTGAAGAATATCTACGCCACTTCCTAGTAATTTGGGTGCGAATTTGCTGGGTCAGCAATAAATTATGACCGAAGACCGAATTCCTTTATGTTTGCAAGGGCTGATGGTCAAAAAAAAGTCATAACATTTTTCATGAGTAACGTTTTACCATTTTATCGAAGCTTTATTTGCACTCAAAAAAAGGTGACCACATTTTTTATCTTTCCCACTTAAGGGCTGGAAAATGCGAAAAATATTCTATTTTCATGCTAATCACTGACTACAATTCATCTTATCGCTTAATTGAAAATTGGCCATTTAATACTTCAGCTATGTTTGATATAAACAAATAGTGAAACATGTCCAGACTAGGTAAATAGAGCCTGTTCAAATTTAAATGTAGTTCGTCCACTACTCCACTGGGCAGATGCAACAAATGCTATTTTATTTCAGAAGCAGTGCTATTGGTCGAAAAAGATCAAGTTTCAAGGACAAGAAACAGCTCAGAATTTCGAAAAAACAGTCAGTCACAGCCTATTATGCCTGTGCCTCACAGGCCTGGTCACATTAAAGAAAATATCGGAGACGGCTGTTACTGCTGTTCCCGACATTTTCTGATCATTGAATATTGCTGTTTGCCGAATCATGGGTGCACGTCCCACTCCCATACATACAAAACCTTACCACTTCACGAGAATGAAATATCTCCTTTCACTAAAACTCAGGCCAATTGACATCGCCGCGGGGAATCAAAAGGCACAAAGGCAGGTATTTTTGCTTTGTTGAAATATTGAAATACCATCTTGTACTGGTCCTGACCAGCATCGTAGGCGAGCCCTATTATTTCAAATCACATGTTATTTTAAATATCGGTCACAGGTACCGACTGTTCCATATCGATATATGTTCCAAAATACCTGTGACAAGTATTTCGTGTCATCCCTATAGGCGACACACAGCTTGGGTTTAGGAATGGACTGGGAACAAGAGAAGCACTATTCAGTGATGTCTTTGCCTGCTTAATTGACTTCGAGAAGGCCTTTGGCAGTGTAAATCACAGCAAGTTGCTAGACACTTGGAGTCAATCGGGACTGGATGACAAAGATCTCCGAATCATTTTTAGTCTGCACTGGAGTCAAAGAGCATACGTTCGATTGGAAAATGCCCTCTCTGTGTGTACCTCCTCTTCAATGTGTACTCGAAAGGACTGTTTAGGGAAGCCTTGGAGGATGGGGAGGACGGCATTTACTTTGATGGAACGCGCATAAATAACATAAGATACGCGGATGATGCAGTTCTGGTAGCGGACACGGCAGAGGGACTTCAGAGACTGGTTGACAGAGTAACACAAACAGTGTGAGAAGATTTCCGTAACCATTGTTGCCCCTGCCGAGCTCATTTGTCGGCCAAAGTCGCAACTCCAGTGGCGATAATCGCAATGTGTTGTCACCAACATTTCTCGCGACCCCTAGTATGTTTACAATAATTCCAAAGAGGAGTAGTTTTGGTATTTATAAAAGATATTAAAAATATATAAAATATATAAAGGAAATAACTATTATATTTATGTTTTCCTGGATTTCAGTCAAAGTGTGAAATAAAAGATTTAAAATTGATACACACTACCAACACCAATTTACAATTAAAATATGTTGTACAAAAACTGTAATTTATAAAGCGTTAAAACATTCATTAGTTCTTGAGGAAAAAAACCTTTCATTTTGGCAGAGTAAACCATTTAAAAAACTTACCTCATTATTGGGAAACATTCGATTCTTTTAGGTCTTTGTTGTATTAAAACCTTAAATTTGCTTGAATTATTGTCTATATTTGCGAGAATAGTATGGATGGATTGAGATAAGCGGAAATAGTTTTAATTTTTCGCTAGTGTACTGGGTGTTTTATATTCATGGCTTTATTAGGTCAAAATAATTTGTCCACTTTAGTATATCTGCATGGATTTCTATTTCCGATAATTCATTATCGAGCCCAATACTACCTAATTTTGCAACTGGGATTTTGAGTTTGGCTCTTCTTTCTTTGAAAAGATATTCAATTTTAAGCGACACCCAGATAATGATAAAAATTTGAGAAAAACTATATTTTGCTAAGAAGCAGAAAAAATAGAGTAAGGTAGAAAAACTTTTCATGAAATTTATTGGAAATAAAGAAAGGAACACAAGCAAAAACATTATGCAGGGTGTTCCATTTAAACTAGGGAGGTTTGAAACAACTTCCGGTATAACCCGAAGTCGCATAATGTTCCTGTTATTACATCTGAAGAGAGCGTCTCCGAAAATGCCATTATCTAAATTTGCACGATGCAAATCGCATTACGTCCCGAAATATTCGAATGGACGCGGACCGTGAGACACCCTGTATGCACGGGTAGCACCATATTTACCGTATTTTCAACAAATACAATATATTGAAAATGGCTCACCATAAACAGCATTAAAAAAGAATATTTAAATTGAAATATATTTAATTAGTTATACTATTAATATCACATCAATTAATGCTATTGCATACCAATAGAAACAATTATTTAGTCATACTTAAAACAAACGGAAATTTATAGTGTTTGTAATCAACCAAATAGAGCTATTCTGATATATTTCAAGCATGTCTCATATTCAGTGGCTAGTAATAGATTGGGTCGACGTCTTATTTGTCGTGTGTGTAAAAAAACTGACACATTTGAATAACACAAAAATAACTCCTAAAACTATATGAAATAAACCATACACAACAAACTGAGATCTGGCCGGTAACCCAAATCCTATACCACTAGTCACAACAACCATTGTAAGAATCGCTTGAAACGCTAGCGCTCCAAATGTATTTATACCGAATATCAGCCCATAGCTGTCTGCTTCAATATGCTTAGCTATTTCACTGCTGGCTATTGTAATAACAAAGTGGTACAATGCTCCAAATAATACATAGAAAACGTAGCTGATAATGACATATTCGGCACGTGCGCAAATGAGCATTATTGCACCCTGTATCAAGGAGCAGCTCGCAAGAATAATTTCTCCTCGTTTCTGCCAATTTACTTTTAAAACACCAGCCGCGAGAGCTCCAAGAAACCCAATTATGGTCAAAGCAGCTTCAACCGCACCGTTGTAAATAGGTTGACTTGGATCATTTACAATTGCAGTCCAAAGTGGCTGCATGTAGACCTGCACTTGAATAAATCCGCATGTGGACAAAGAGAACCATATCGACCATTTCAGGGTGTAAACATTCGCATACCCTTGCTTGAAATGCTGCCACATAGTTTGGAATGCTAGCTTCATATTCATCTTATTTGAAGAATTCAATGTTTTTTCTTGGTGGAAGTAAATTGACTTGTTTACTGATGGTAGAAGTAAACTCCATAAGGTAGCTGCGATTAACGCTGAAACAAGAACAACAGTGTTCGGTTTTAATGATGATTTAATATTAGCAATCTAAAGATTTGAGGCCGATGTTAGATAATCTCGATTGATTGAACGATTTATACATGTTCAAACAATCTGCAACAAATAGCAAGATAGCTTCAATAATTGCACATACATGTTTTCTAGTTTTGTCCGCGCTTGAAGGTAAGGGTCAAATTACAAAATTACTACAACTCTCCCACCATAATAGCAGACGGGAATAGAACTACTACAGGACAAAAAATAAGCTACCTAGGGAAAACACTAGACCAAAAACTAAAATTTACTAGACACTGCAAGCACAGACTTCCTCCAACTGCAAAAAAATTATCCAACGCAAATATAACTTGTAAGCATCAAATCCTCTCAACGACTTCGACACCTACCTAAAGATTTTTAGAAAATCCTTTAAAGAAATGACTCGACTGACCACCTGTACTGCAGTCTTAAAAACTCGTAACTACTGTACTTGTTCTGTACTTACCTTTACTATTTTTTCCGCTGTGAATCAAGTATATTAACATTCCAGCATTTTTAAAGATCAGATTTACATAGAAGAGGCTCAACTTTTTCTTACCCATTATTTTATTTCAACTTACATAAAACATTTTTCGGAAGACTTACCACCAAGGCTAATGTAGTTCAACTGTCGATAATCCATTATTTCAAGTGATATTAGGACTTGACCCAAAATGCCTGAAATTGATCTTCCAGCCAATAAAGCCGCTCTGGTGTGAGAGGTAACTTGCTGGTAGTAATCCTTATCAACTTTAGCATATATGTAGGTGTAGTAAGCAACTTCACATGCCATAAACGCACCATAAAATACCTACGAAATCCTTAAAGAATTTAGCTTGAAAATAACCCCGTAAAAACGATATGTACAGGATATCCAAGATAAGGAGGCATTGCATGGGGATCTCTAACACCGTGAGAGATACGAAGTCGGTTAAATTAGGCAAAAGTTGCACAATCAGAGAGCATATGCATGGCGTTTTCAAAAAAATAAGTACATATTTCATTTAATTTTTAAGATATTTAGAAAAAAGTGGTTGTTCGAATTTTCGTTCTTTTTTATTTTTCAAGTTATTTCAAATCATATAAGAAATACGGTCTTATGGCACCTTTTCGAGCACTACAAGATGATGTCATATACATAATACAAGATAAAAGATGACATGAGACTTACTACACGTCAAATGGTGGTCATTGGCGCAAAGATGCCTTATCCAAAAGTGGATAGTTTCCGATCTACAAAGTTTTATTTAAAAAAATTATAATTATTAATATTGCGGAAACCGCTGGAATATTTTAATGAAATTTTACAGGCGTAGGCACTTAACAACAATACATGTTTTGTGATAAAAAAATTGTTTTTAGTTTCGCCAGTGGCGTGGACACAGGCACGTCTCTAGACAATTAAAAAAAAAACAATGTTACACCACTGATTTTTTCTAAATTAAATATTATTTTTCAAGTTCTTGTTCAATTTGGAAGAGAAATTAGTTGAGTCTCTTGACTTTTTTCAACAACGCACCTTTTTTGAGTAAAACAAAATTAAAATTGATTTATTGCATAGCTTAATCGGGTTGTATATACAGGGTTATTCATGCTATACGGTACGGACGTTTGCGGTTAGCCCGTTTGTTTTTTGCAAAGTATTATTTGATGAATCGACAGACGCCTATCGGGTGCACATTTTAAAAATATTTGTGT